AGGTATAAAGTATTTTGTCTACTTAAATGACAATTTTCAGACTCAACTTACTTCTTTGTAGCCGAAAATGATACGCCCATCACTGAGAAGGGTGGCCTGAAAAGTGAAACTGCCCAGGTTGTAATTATCCTGCAGATGTACATGGTCCCACTGGACAACTAGTGCTGTGCCTGTGAACCCCAGAGTGGGGGTAGAGAGGCAAAGGGAAGAAAAAAATGTGAGAAAAATATTAACTGACTGCATGAAAAGTACTTAACTGCAGTTACTTGAAACAAGAAATGTGATTTGTCTCTTTTTAGCAACTTTCAGCCCAACGTCTTGAAATGCCAAAGATATCACAAACATAAGTTACAACTGAAATCCTCTTATTTGTGGCACTGTGGTGTGTACCTTTAACTACCTCAACTACTCGCACAAAAGTCTGGTAAAGCAAGAGTGGTCAAGTAACATGTTTGGGATTGCATAAGAAGTCAACAGTCAATAAAGGTTGGATTCAGCACTCAAAGTTCAGGTGTACTGCCTCAACCACTGCTCTGCAGTGGCTTTTTTTACACTATATCTATATATACCCTGATGACTTTGAAAGGTGAAGTTCTAATAGCATTGCCTGTTTACTAGAAGTTATTATTTGAGGAATTCAAATTCTTCCATTAACTATGCATCAATTTAAATGGCATTAGTTTTTTTCTGCATGGTGCAAGCCCTTGCTGAGGTTCTGCAAGTTGAATAATACTAGGTGTTGGTAATAAATAAATGTAGTTTAAATTAAAACCACTAAGAATTCATAGACGGGGTAAATATTGAGTCTGGTGTGCATAGATTTAGTTGCAATAGGTTCATTAATATTCATGGCAGTTCTCTGGCTGAATATCCACTTATCTCACTAAAAATGTACCCCTAGCAACTTGCATACCCTGTGAGCATGTTTTACAGATGTCGAGGGCTATATTCAAGCAGCTTGACTTATTACCAAAACTGTGTTTACCGAAAATTACTTTTTCGTCTTTATATGCCTTCCTCAACATACTTCTCCCTTTGGCACTAATGGGAGCTATGTGCTTTGATTCACAACACTTTAATTTCATTTCTTCCTGGAGTGTTCAAGGTGGGTCAGTGTGCATCCAGCTCAATGCATTTTTTATATATCCTTGAAACATCTCTTGTCACAGATCTTCTGTGCTGTAACTTTCATAAACATATCTTGCTAGGGAATGTCATGAAACTATGAGCATGCAAATTTTTGGTGCATACTGCACGAAGTCCACCACATTATTGTCCCATGTGTCTTTCACAAGTATAGTACATGCTCACTAATTGTGCACACAGTCCATTTTTCTTTCTGTGGCCACATTTATCAGCTGTATTCTGAATATTTATTTTATTGTATTAAATTACATTTGAAAGGAATTTAAAGTGACTTTTAAAATCATTGGAGCAAAATAGCCAGAATTTCTTATAGTCAGTCTTTGAGTACCTCAGATCTATGTTCATCTCAGAATCCCAAGCTAAAGTGGAAGTCAGCTGACTTCAAAACAGTCTTCTTATTTCCAGGGCCTTTATGTAGATTCGCGTGTACTAAGTTCATTGCTGTTAGGTCCATGAGTGAGACTTGATGGGTTACAATACTGTGCTTGCCCACTACAGATGCCACTCTAAAGCAGCAAACTTATTCACAGAGACAGAACATGGATGAACAAGAAATAAGGAGCTGAAGTTTGCTCAGTTCCTTTTTATTTGGGGTAAGATAGCAAATCCTTTGTCCATAAGCATTTGGCGTCCAAAAGATCATCATGCCTTACACATGAAGAGGGATCCAAAATCTCAAAGAAGAATTTAGTCTTGTCATGAAAGCCATGTGACACAGCCTGATACACCTGGTATGAAGACTAGAAGTTAGGAATACAAAGAGGATTAGCAATGTTTTCCCTAGAATCCTCAGGTTCTTTCAGTAAAGATGACAAATCTCAGGCCATAATGTCAAATAATTTATGAAATGAAAAAAATACTTTTTTTCTGTTTGAAAATTCTCCATGCAAGGAGTAGGATTTTCTCATGTAAGCCTATTTTATTGGATTTTTAACAGATAAATGCTGCAAGTAATGACTAGATTGAAAGAAAAGGTTATGACTAGGTGCAAAGGTTATAGGATACATTTTGATCCCTGATCTAAAGAATAAAAATCGACACACCTGGTTGGAAATGTGCCATATTTTTGGACATGTTCATAACTTGTGCTCAAATTAACTATGAATAAACATACATAGAATGGCACAGGCTTATCCAGGAAGATTTAAAGCCATCATAGATCTCATGATATTAAGTCATGATACTAAACTCTCTAAGTTTTAAATTCAGAATAGACAGTCACTGCCATTGTATTTGATCACTAAAGGCCTGAGGTAAGGCACCAGACGTGTTTTAATCACATAGGTTATGTTTTCAAAATATTGATTACAACTGACTTCATGAGACAAATATCCACACATTCAAGGCCTTTGAAATATCTCACAGAACTTCAAATACAACACTGCAGTTTGCCTTTTACCCTTTCAATCTTTTGTACAAGGGACTGTTGAGAACTCGTGGTGTAGATGAGAGTATTGGATTCCAATCCTGAGACTCTATGCACAGTTAGTCATTGACAGATTTATTAACCTTGTACCTGCCCTGCTTTTGTGTATTCTTGCTATTGCATTTCACAAATGCTATTTTCATTTTAGTTAGTGGGTAGATGGTATTTACTATATGTATTTTGAAATAACAGGAACTCACACTTTTATATAAGACAGATTTTTCCTTATAAAACTGATGAAATAGATTGTTAGTCTCGGTTTATGCACTTTAACATCCAGAAACTATCTCTCCAGTCAGGAAAAAGCATTCATGACTCTTTAACCATGTTCTAAATTAAGGTCTGTTTATGGAAGTCTAGCCACACTCTTTATACAGCCTGTGAGTTCAAAAAAAAAAAAAAAAGAAAAAATTTTAAAAATCTTAAATTTTTCCTTCAAAAATAGTTACTTAGGAAAATATGAAGAGCCAAGGGACACAGACACATTCATTTATGAAGGACTACTACATACCATTATCAAAGTATCTGACTGTTGAATTTCTTGATACACTGGGGTCAAAATTTGCCATTAAGGGTGCAATATATTGTGTAGCTGTTAGCATTCGATGCACAACTTCTCCAGTATATATGAAACCTACAATAAAAAAAAAATATTGAGACCATTTAAGTAACTTCTAAAAAGATTTAATGGAATGGCAGGTTGAACTAGGCATTGCCAGAGCATTAAAGAGTCATCTGAGAGAAATTAATCCCACCACCAATTTTAGAGTGAATTAAGTAAGAGCTAAAGTTTGAAGAAAATGTCTGTGATGGTTGCCAAAAGAACAAGATCCAAGATGAACAATGGAACAATTAGTTCAAGAAGTAAGTTTTCATATAAAAATAAAACCAGAGCAAACTTCAGAAAAAAAGAACTCCAGTCATGGACAAAATGCAGATATGTGGCATTATCAAAATGAGCTATTTACCACCATGCATATTCCACAGTGCTTTCTATCCCTTCCCAAAATTTGCCATTTCTTTTGCTTTTGGAAATCGTTACCTCTTCAAAAGTTAGTCTAACCCTTTTTCATACTTCTAGGGACACAGAGTAAGAGACTATTTCAGACAAGAAGTGGTGACAACCTTTATGAAAAAAAAAAAGTCAGATGAAGAGTGGAACAGAAAGGATTTTTTCATGACTATAAGCCAAGCAGCATTTTTGCTACATTTTCTGCAGTGTTAGGTCTCACTAGTATATCCTATTAATCCCTGAATCCACAGTACTCTTCAGATCAACAGTGGGCTGCTTTCATCAGAAGTGCTCACCTAAAACCTCTTACTGGTTTGGAACTGAAGTTCTTCCTTCAAGGAAGAATAGTCATCTATGGTGAATACTGTAATGCTGCCATTTTCTTCAAAGGAAAGCTTTGTGTATTTTAATGGCAAGTAACTCCTGTAATTTTAAACAATAAATGGTCTACAAATAAACCTGTATTTCTTGGGTTCGCCAACTCCACCTCAACTGTATAATGGGAGATGCCCCAAACTAAAGACTGGCTTAAAAACTCCTGTTACCCTACAGTGAGCCTTTTCTTAAGTTTTGTTTTAGCCTTTGCCCTGCTGGTCAAAACTGACAAACTTTAAGTTGATTGGAGCTACAGGTAGATCTTCAAAACTAAGGTTTGCATATTAACTCTCCTCTGAAAGTGTTTACCAGATGCTGCCTTATGCTGAAGTGTTTGCTTTTTCTCCTTCTGTTGATTTAATGAAGTATATTCCAAAAGCAAACACCCCACCAATAACATTAGAGCTGTCCGAAAATTTTATAACAGAAAAAATTCTATTTGGAAGATGTCTAACAGAAATTCAGTTCTTTACTGACAAATAATAGTATCCACTGCAACACTATTTATACTGGTTTGTGTTTTCTTTTCCTTCAGTCATATTGAGAGTCTTTGTTCCTCCACACCCCCTTTTATCATCAAGTCCAAGAGGTCCTTTCTTCTCACATTTAATATCATTGCAATACACACATGATGAAGGAGCACATAAATCTACCACTAAAACACAATTGTGAAATTCCAGAACTAAACACAAACCTGAACAACTGGAATTACCCTCAAGATAGAAATACCATTTTCCAGTCAACTCCAGTTAATATATGATATTAAAAAACTATTAGTGTGCAACCCCACTTTCTTAATGATAGTATCTCCATCCTAACAACTGTGAGATGAGACAGGTTTATTAAAGACTTGTTTGATATGATATAGAAAATCTCTGAAAGCATGAAAAAATAACAAATTTCTGGAGTGCTTTAGGCATCCTTCTACTCCTGTCTTCTTCTGAAACATGTTGGTAAATGGTTCTAGGAGTCATAAGATGCTATAAACAAACAAACAAAAAAGGTGGTTCTTTGGAATAATTTTCCTGCATGGCTGCTAGCAGTTAAGATCAAATACCGTAAGTCAACTCAACTGGAGTTGATAGGAGATCTAAGAAAAAGCCAGGTGTGAAGAAAATATAGCAAAAGATTCATTTGGAAACATTTGGCATTGCCAAAGGGGTGAGCTAGAAATCCAGCTGCCTTTGCTTAATTTAAAACACACATGTATTCAAACAATACAGTCTTTTAATATCTAGACACCTCCCAAATACTAATTTATTTCTTAGGACTAAACTACAACTCACTCTTTTTTTTTTTTTTTTTTTTTTGTCAGGGGGGATGATTCTTTCAGTTAAACATCTAAATACCACTTTTCTCTTGCTAATTATTAAGGAGAGAGAAATACCAACTAAAAAAAAAAAATCTGCCCTCACACATTTACAAGTCATGGATAAACCTGAACTTTTGAAATATACAACTGTGGCTGTAATTTTACTCTATTACTCATCATTTTAGGATAGCCAACAGTCCTGATAAAGTATAGTCCCTGAAAAGCATTTTCATTATTTCCTATTTATTACTGCCTCCTTCTAAAATGTTGTTCCCTTGAGAAGTATTCCCTCATGAATATTTAGACATCTTAAATACATATCATTTGATAGAATATTTGTGCCACTTATTATCCCTATGGTCATGTGCACACATATTTTAACACAATCTTGGGTAGGTCTATAACCTTGAAACCACTCCTCAAAAAATTTTTGAGGACAATATAAACAAAACCTTTGAATCCATATTCATGTATTACAATCAGCCTTAATAGTTCAGTACTTATTCATCCCTCGCACAATTGTTCCTGTCCTTACACAGTTTCCCTTTCATGCTTTCATCCCATTTACAGTATAAATGTCACCATTATAACGAATAATGAGGCAGATACAATGGGAAAAGAAAGGACTTAATTGTGCTGCAACACATAACTAAGTAAATCAGTCCAGGTAATTAGTAACCACAGAGTGCATTTCCAAGTGTTTGCCGGATGCAGCTTTACTTTAGACAAAAATGGAAAGCAGGAGGTGGACGATAGCTGGGAAGCAGGCAGGCCTTGCATGAAGATCACTCTAATGAGAACTCCAGTCATGCATTGGAACAACTTGAAAAGAAACACAAAGTAATTTCAAATCATCCCAGAGATTGAAAGGCTGAAGCCACTGTTGAGCATGGACATTTCATCATTGCCATTACAACTTAAATTTAAAATTAACTTATTCCTGAATGGAATTCTGCACAAAATTGGCTTATACTATCTGTGACCTAATTTTCTGACAATGGTAAATGCCCATGGTTGATTCATTTAGTCAAGGAAGAATTTTTCAGACCTGCAATTTCCTGAACCACTTAATCTCTGCTTTGTGGGAGGGGTTGGTAGAGCTCTTTTCCAAAACTCTCCACAAGTACTATACCTAGAAGCATAATATGCTCCTAAATACTGGAATGAAGATAAATAGGATAGAGTGCTTAGCATTTTGTAAGCTTTATATGTATACATAAATTTAACTAAAACTAAGGATGAACTAATATTAAAGTCACTTGTAAATCAAGGAGGGTATACTCCTAGTCCTCATAGTGTACAAATGCACAGTAACACAAACAGAGGGGAAAAGTCTCTCTGTCTAAGCCCTTAAATATGAAAGCACACTTCCACTTGATGCAGGACTCTGACTTGACTTAAAAGTGCACTTTACATCTGAATTTATCCATTCCATAATATGCTCCATATCTGTTGTGTTTTAGCATATTAGATTTACATATAAGATTTTACATACAAGATTACAACAATCTGCGCGTAAGCTTTCTGTGGTTTCTTTTTTCTAGTCCTAGCTGTGCACAAACTCAGTACCACTTAGAAAGTTTTTCAACAATGTTTGCCAAGTGTGCAGAATAATAGAATACAGGTTCAAACCAGCACAGGCAATGAGTTCTTTGAAGTTGCTATTGTGTGTGTACAAAGATACGATAGGATATGGGATATGCAGGCAACATAAAAATAAAACATCTAGGTTGATAACTATTTTCTCCCTTCTAAGACGCTGCACTTCTGCATTTAGCTGAATTAGAACAAAACCCACTTCAGATTATAATCTCATGTGTGATTTATTTTTAAATATCTGAAACAACTTGTTATATCTTAAAAGCATCATACTGAATACAGGGTATAAATGGATTATACTTCTGTGTGCTTGTGATGAGTAGGGTCCATTTTGATAATATATATTTTAGATGCTCAGTACTTCTTCAAAGCTATTATGACAGTTCGGTCTTTACCTTTGTGGTGGGTTGACCTTTGCCAGCTGCCACAGACCCACCCAGCTGCTCTCTCACTCCCCTTCCTTAATAGGACAGGGGGATAAAATAAGATGAATAAGATGAAAAAAACTTGTGGATCCAGATATATACAAGGAGAACACTTGCCAGTTACTGTCATGGGCAAAACAGAACTGACTTGGGAAAAATTAATTTAATTCATTGCCAGATAAAATAGGTTTGGATAATGAGAAGCAAAGACAAATTAAAACACCACCTTCCCCCCACCCCTCCCTTTTTCCCAGGCTCAATGTCACTCCTTCAGTCCCGACTCCTCTACCTCCTGCTCCCCTTGATCAGCGCAGGGGGATGGGGAATGTGACTTGCAGTCAGTTCATAACTCTTTATCTCTGTCACTCCTTCCCATGGGCTGCAGTCCTTCAGGATAAACCTGCTCCAGCATGGGTCCTCCACAGGCCACGGTTCCTTCAGGACATTTCCACATTTCCAGTGTGGGGTCATCCACAGGCTGCAGCGTGGATATCTGCTTCAGTGTGGGCTCTTCTATGGGCTGCAGGGAAATACTTGCTCCAGCCTGGTGTCCTCCACAGGTGCTTCAGTGCCTGGACAACCTCCTCCCTCTCCTTCTCTCCCCTTGGTGTTCACAGGGTTATTTCTCAGGCTTTTTCCCTCACTATTGACACTGCTGTGCAATATTTTTTACCGTTTCTTAAATATGTTTTCCCAGATGTGCCACCAGCTTGGATGATGGGCTCAGCTGTGTCCTGCAGTGGGTCCACTGGAGCCAGCTGGATCCGTTTGTCTGACATGGCACAGTCCCTCACCTCCTTCTATAGAGGTAGTCACCTCACCACCAAAACCTTGCCACAGACCCCTAATACAACCTAAGACTTAACCTAATATTTTACCTGTTTTATATATTACCTATTTAATTTTTTATTTTATATATCAACTGTTTTACTTAATATGCAACAATAGTAT